CCGCCCCCCCCCCCGACGAAATACGCTAAAAGCAGCTCACGAACATTTTGCAGAACATCCGTGCAGTGACATCTGAGTACGAGAATAAATACTGACCTCGAGCGTCGCCAGGCTGGCCAGCGAGGAGAGAGGCCGAGTGTGAGGAACTTCTCCCGGGAAAACGCTATCGTGCGACACTGATAATTTGCCGGCGCCTCCTCGTAACTTGACGAAACTATCCTCCACCCCGCCTCGTCGGAGGAATACGCTATAAAAGGGTAGAAAGACAACGGCACGTTCAATAAATTATGTTGCGAGAGTTATTTCGGAGACATACTCGATGGTATCTCATTTACGTATAAAAATAGAAATTTCATGTTGTATTATTAAATCGAATCATAAAAGTTGAAAAGAAATAGAGCTCGTGTATAAGTGTCCGAAATATATATAAAATGTGTAAACTAAAAATATATAAAATATAAAAAAATGAACAAATAAAATAAATTAATAATTTATAATATCCGAAAATTATTATACGAATTAATAAATATAGCACATGTTGTATTTATTCCTTCTCTGATAAAATTGCTGTCCTAAATTCAAAGAAAGAAAACATACGTGCTCAACGCGATTAGCGCTCAACGTCAAATTTATTCAATGCCGTTAATACTCGTAATTAAGGCGATGAGTTATTTGCCAGGAATGACACGCGTCAACAGCGACAGATAATTATGCGGCCTTTCTGTGATGTGCTACGACGGTATTGCTCGAGCGAAAGCAAACCGCGTCATCGTTATACGATACGGACGTTACATATCGACCCGCTGTAAATCATACAGAGCACGCAAAACACCCTCGAGTTTCGTGCTACTACGAGGTAAGTTACTACGAGGTACTGCGAGGACAAAAATAAAAGCTGAGAACGTGAAAACGAGGCCAAGGATCGTAAATTGATAACGAGCCGAACGCGGTAGTGCTCGCGGTTCGATTCGCGCTTCGAAAAGCATAAAATCTTTTATATCCGCTTAAAAAAAGATAAGAAATCTTTTTGCTCCTAGTGGTGTTACTTTTTTGGAGAAAATAAATTAAAGTTGAAAATGTGTAGCATGAAATAAGTAACAAACCGAGATAGCAGAGAGACCTTTTGTCAGAAGTAACAATGGTAATATGATAATTATCTCACAACCGGTGGTGAGACAATTATCATATGTGTATTATTCATATCATAACTAAGTCTTTGCGATAAGATTACTTTGAGGCGTCATTAGATTTTCAAATTTAACAAGGTCAATGTTAAGCTCTATGGTTTTTCTACTTGAAATTCTTTCGCTTAGTTAGACATAACGGGAAATAATTAAATATTATTATCAGTAGCCAGTATTTTTTTTTGGTAGTATGACTAGCACCATTATCTATGTTTGCCGCTACGAAATTATTTTCAAAGACGATAATTAAGACTCTGACCGAAATTTAAACGACTGCCATATAACTCAATGATCTACTGGCGCCGAGATAAATTTCGTCTACTGTTGTTTACTGCTTAAACGATTCGCGTGTCTCAAAAAACGCGATGAAATTGCATCTTTTCGACGTGTCTCGTCCACTGAAACGGATTTAACATTGGTATTGATGCAAACATTGACCAAATCGATAAAACTGACGGTTCTCTGACATCGCATTTAATCTGCTGAGAAAGAAGATTTTAATCTGCATAAATATTCTGTGTGTTCGCAATTCAAGTAATCTTTATCTCACGTGGAAGTAATTTGGAAAAAATTAAAGATATATAGGTTTTATATGCGTAAATCCAAATTATCGTTGTATCAATTATCTTCAAGTCATTTTAGATAATAATTTCTGAGATTATTATCATAAAGTATGAGATTTCGAAGGCCGCATTTTTCTTCAAATTTTTCTATAATCAATAATTATTTTAAGAAATAATACACGGAAAGAACAATTTTGCTGAATCCAAATCTAAAAATAATATTTATTCAATAATCAAAATAATTTTGTGCGAAAGTCAAAATGATTGCTAAAATATCAAAACGTTTTATAGCAATGCTTATCAGTTTTAACATTCCAACAAATTATTTTGATGATTCAACAAAATATTATTTTCAGATCTGTTTTTAGCAAAATTTTTAAATCTTTCAACAAAATCATTCTTTCCGTGTATCTATGAATAAGATATGGTGAGATACTTTCGCCATAAAACCGATCTTCCAGATTGTCAATCCTTATATTCGTCATTATTTTAAATGTTTTCTAAAGGAATCTATTTTCAAAACCGTCATAGAATGCAGAGAGATATTTCCTACCTTTCTCGATCGCAGGAGTCGGTGAGGAGCTCGCTGGCGCTCCTGCTGCGGGCTTCCTCGGGACGTCCCGCAGGATGCCTCATCGTGATCTCCTCCCGCGGGAGGCGCGCCAATTCGGCATCCCGATCGGCGGAATTGGAGACGGAACGCGCATCGGCGGCGCCGCGGCTCTTCCGCCGGAAGATCTTGCGGAGACCGCGCAGAGGATGAAAACGGCGCTTCTTTGGTTCTGCAAGTGAAAGGCATGCGAAAAATATTCGATTAGGATAACAGCGCGATGTAAATTCCTTTTAAGTATACCAGCACATAATATGGGTGCCTTCTATTTAGCGACACAAATCGATACAAACATCATTCTATCTTTGTTGTCATAGAATGCTGAAAAAAAAGCACCCAATATGTACGCACTCAATTCTCTTTTAATTTGAATATTATTGATGAAAAATAAACGAATAAATATTCACAAAATATTTCTTCATTCTTTTCTTTTTAATTATTATGGATTTCAATTAAATAAAACTATATTAAACAAAACTGAACAAAAAATTCACTTTTTTAAATAAACTTTTTTAAATCACTTTTTTTAGCTATTAAAAATTCGTACTTGACACATTTCAGCACTAAGTAAAAAGTAGAAATCAATTACAAGCGACATTAATTATCAAGCGACAATGCACGATTATACGAGTAAAACAAAATTTCTAAAGTTTATTCATTAAATAAATTCTATGTATTAAAAAGAAAATATTTAGCGACGTATGCAATATATTCCATAGATTTGTCATCATCACTGGCAATTTTTAAGATCCCTGCGAGATGCACGATGATCAAACAATATGTACCGAGAAAATCTACGAGCGAGTCGAGAGATGGCATCCTCCGTGGAGCCTTCTCTTGTTAGAACTAGAATTCGCGTATTTCGTTTTTGCACGGTGTACACCTGACTGACTTCACGGATAAATACGCAAAATACACGGCGACGTGACGTGATAAGATTAGAAGCCTGGCCCCTCCGATAGCTGTATATCGGCCCGACATATCGCAAGCCAGGAGAGTCTCTCCTTATAAGGTACGCGCCTAATGCCGGTATTCGATATCTCTCTCTTTCTCTCCAATGCCTGTATCCTCTTCCTGCCCCCACTTTTCTGACCTATCTCTCTATCCCTGTCACTCGCGAGCCACTCCAACCTTATCGCTTGACGTGACGCATCTGTCGATGCTTCTCGAGGAAGCCTCACGATGCCGCCGACGTTAATGTACAAAGACGATATTTCAGACTTTCAGCAGGTAGATAGGCAATCTCGGCGAAACGACAGGAGCGAAGATTGAAAACTAATAGATCTCTGTAAATCCTAACATTGCCACTATTAAAAAAAAAGCAGGTAGATGAACAATCTCGACGAAACAGTAAGATCGAAGAATGAAAACTAAAAAATTTCTGTAAACCCCTATCACTAAATAAAATTCAACTACATAAATAAATGCTCATTTATTGCTAATAAATTTTTCACGTTTATGCTAGCATTTCCACTCTCGAAAAACACGTACAGACTATTGTAAAGAAAAAAACAGATATACCAAAACTTTTTGCTACTTTTTTTGTTCTAAGATTCAACTGCAAAAAAAACAAGAATTTTGAAAAATTGTACCTTACTTTTTGTATGGTCGTGGTCAGAACGATTGCGATACTTTTATTATGATGGGTTTTAGAATGCACTAATATTATGCGAAAATGCGAATCACGATTGGTGTATTGTCTTTATTCTAGAGACAGTACACCAATCGTGGTTTGCAGTTGCAAAATATTAGTGCGTTCCTAAACTCATTTAAAAAAAAGTCCGTTCTGAGTTCTGACCACGATCGCTAGCACTATCACGCTCCTAGTATTTTTTAATTTAAACAAAGAACAATAAATTCTAAATAAATCAAGACTAATTAATTCTAGAAACATTTTAAGACCAAAATTATTGCAGCAATTCATTGTTTTAATATACTTTACTCTGCGCTAGCATCGCGATAAAATCAAAAGCCACTTCTCAAGACTATCGACATAATTGCACAAAAAGCTGACTCTCAACATTCCAATAAAATTACGACGGCAATATAGACAACCTATAGATAAAAACAAAATCTAGTCTGCACTTTTTTAATTACATAAAAACGCGATCTACTTTGCAACAAAAAATATATACGATAACTGCCTTCGTAAATTCTCATGGCTATATACATTTATAATTTTATACACTTTGCAACAATACGGAATCAATACTCAATATTGGGACAACATTTCAGCGTCGGTGTATCTTGATTCGTTGTCGCATACTCAATTTTCGAGAGCGGCGCAATGACGCTGCACTTAAAGCCGATCTACCACAATCCCCGTCTCTCGGTGGCCGCGCGTGATGCTGCGCTTAAAGTCGATCTACCACGATGTCTACGTACGTCACGCCGTCAAACACCAGCCCGCGCGCGGCCTTAACGAGACAAGGGGAGACAGGAATGTACGCTTGATCGGGAGTGATCTTTACTGTGTACTTGACACTCTCTCTCTATGTGCGAGCGCACACTTTACACGCTTCAATGACGGCTCCGACGTCGTTGAAGCGCGAAAAATAACGCTACGCCCGAGTCGGCTCGCTAGCGGCTGTCTATCGCACGTAACGAGAACATCTGTTTGCACGATATCGAGGAATAATGCAACGTCACCGCGCGGCCGCGGAAATTCTCGGAATAAAAAAAGAACCGACGGACAGCGAACAGTATCCGAGATGTAAATTGTATCGCGAGAGTATCAATCGCATTATAACAAACGCGGGATAAAATTATAAAAAATAATAAAGTTGTGTAAAAAAGAGCGGTGGAAAAATTGTAGCAGGTTTATAAAATCTCATTTCGATCGCGAAAAGCTCTATGAAGTGAATTTTGGTATAAATATATTCTGCTCGACGCAGCGTCTTATTTATTATTAATATTCGACGACTAACCACAGCTTAAATTAAAATTTAATGCAAAAGGCGAGTAAATTAAATCTTTTTTCGTGAGAAAAGTTTTGAATTCTAAGTACTCTCTCGAAAAGTTAATGCATTAATTACGAAAGCATTTCGGTCGGGACAAACGGCAAACCGAGTCGATTGACCGAGAAAATTTCTCGAGGAGTTTTCCCCGCTAATTACGTTCCCGATTAAAAAATTAACCCGCGAGTTAATTTACCCCCGCGGTCTGCCGAGCTCTGCAATTTACCGAGACTCAATCCAATGGCGGAGGTCATTATTCCGACCCGGAAGCTCATCCGTAATGACACATAACGCTTCCTCCGAACAATAGTCGTGGCGCACCGTAACGCAAAAAACACGAGAGAAAAAAAAAAAGAAATCACAGCTCGCCGCCTAACCGTAATCACAATTGTCATTTTAATCTCTGTCCGCTCCTAATTAAACGCGTTTCTTACTACTACAGCTATAACGACGACCTCGATTCTTCCATCCTTGCCCGAGATGCGGAGGACGTCCCTGCACATTCGTACTTGCAGATTGCCGACGATACCGTAACGCGATGCTAACTTGGGCGTGAACTCGAAGAACCGTTGAATTAAAATTAATAATTTATCTCTGCCAAAGGATAATCACATTTCTAAACTTTAAGCGCTACAAAGATAAATTTAAAAAATATCAAATTAATTCTTTTTTTAAATTTTTCTTTTTTTTAGTAAGAAGCAATCTTCATTATTATTCTTATTATATAAAATGACAGAACTATATTTAAAAAAATACGAATAACTGCTAAAAATTAGGAACAATTTTATTACTGAATTGTCGTAATGCGTCATGTAATTTTATAAGAGATTGGCTGTCTTCCGTGCAAACGTGGCATTCGACGAAATCCGTATGTTTCATCATACGCCTCGTTTACACGCGGCTTACTCGTACGCGCCTCGGAAATTCGCGTGTCTCGACAACGAGTGCGACATCGAGAATCTGATTTTCGGAGGAGGAAATGCAGTTTTTCCGACGGCACGTCTAGACCATCGCCGCCAGCGTTATGTTTCTGCTACCCTTTAGAATTCGGCAATGAACAGTTTCCAGGGAAATCCATTCGACTTGAATAATATATAGTCGGAAATAGTCCGATAGCCGAAATCTTGCATTATAAATTAAATTATAATAATATGCAAGATATACATATATTTCAATAAATAGTATTAGCATCGATAATGCATGCATATATTATATGAATGGTATTGCAAGCGGATATCCTTGTAACTTTACAGAGAATTAATAAAGCCTATTATATGATAGGTATATTATTATCGATAATCGCATAATACATCCAAAGCTAAAAGAGAAGTAACCACTGCAAAAGGAATTTAAAAAAACGACTGTTCTATTAATATATAAAATTATTAGAGTTTCAAAGGAAATTGCAAAATTACGATACGTTAATTATTCCGCGATCAAATTGATAACCACTAAGATTGCCTTCAGAGCGCTTTCGTGCATCTCGCAAGGACGTGAATTGTCAAAGTGTGCTAAGAAGTACTCAAGCTTTGCTGACCTTTGGGCAGAGGGTCGACGCTGTGCTGGGTCGCCGGGAACTCGCCGAGGCCGAACGCGCGATGGTGCTGATGATGGTGGTGCTGATGATGATTCTGAGGTGGCGGCGAGGCCTCTCTCACGCAGCCCATCAGGCTCAGGGCACCGCCAACGCCTCCGCCACCGCCTCCGAGGGCGGCGCTCGTCGACATCGTCCCGCTGCTCTGAAACACCCCGAAGAACCAAACTGCGACGTAGGACTCTCTCACGCGCTGGTACCATGCCGAGAGGAACAAGCCCTCCGACCCTTTCCAGCTCTTCCAGCCGTCCATCTCGACCCGCCTCACGAATGTGTCTCACGCGGACGTGTGTCTAACGCGCGACGTGAAAAAAAAAATACTTCGCTTCTCCACGCCTGCCCGCTGTTTAATAAGCGCGGACGGAATTAAAAGCGAAGGTGTGGTCTTGGTGCGGCTGTATTGCGCGAATGGACGATTCGGGGAATATTGATTTCTATCAGCTGACCTTACGTTCGTCACTCTCACGGGGCGACCTTGCGCGAACTTAATTCAGCACAAATGATACGCTCGATTAGGAGATCGTAATTCAATTCTATGACAACTGAACAACAGAGAAAATAATCGATCGATTCTAAGCGTTAGCAAGGAGACCAAGAAATTTTTTTATTATAAATTATTTTGGAGAAATATTTCGAACTGCGAAGCAGTTAGATAATTGTTATATATTTGATACGTAATCTTATGCGCAGATGTCAATTATTTATCATCGCCGTTTGATTAGATCGCTTGAACAATGGTACTCGATTAATTTGGACAATTTTAAATAAATTTTATCATCAATTTTATTTTAAAATAACATATGCAGCGGTTCAAAATATTATAGGTATATAATATTAGGTATATAATAAAAGTTTCAATCATACCGCCTCGTGCTATTTCATCTATCGGCACTACTCCCACCCGCTGATCAGCAGTAAATGTCTATACATAAGACGCGGCACCAAATGATCAACTCACACAGAGAATCTCTCACCGAGGAGGGGGAGACACAATTACGCGCCAAGTACGCTCTTCACGGCGCAAAAGAGATTAAGTTCCCGCGCGTCGTCACTTTCCCAAAGAGAGGCCTCCGCGCGCCCGGACGCGGAACCTGGCACGCGGAAAGGATTCCTCGCCGCGGAATGTCGCCTTTAACGAGTCGCCAAGGAAGGGAGGAAGAGCGAGAGAAGAGAGAACGCGGAATGCATTAAACGCGCCGCCGCCTTCTCGCCGACTCTCTCGCGCCGCTCCGCTTACAGAATTGATACCCGATCCCCGGATCCCGCTCCCTCCCGCGCGTCCTCCCTCGTCGACGGCCTGGCAGTGGCCCGCTCTCCGCTCCTGCGAGGCAATGGGGGTCAGGAGAGGATGGTCGTCATGGCAACTGCATCCGGCTGAGGGGGATGCGCGGAAGCGACTGGCGGACTGGTGCATCGATTGCACCCCCTCGGCTGGCGCGCGCGGGCCGACCCTGACCTTCGCACAGCTGACGACGAGGAGGATGACGGCGAGGCTGCAGCATTGGGCTCCGCGCTCGCGCCGCGCCGCTTCACCGCCACGTTCTCGGCGAGAGAACGTGGGGAAGCCCGCCGAGAGAATTAGCGCTGCCGGTTCTTATTAAGCTGCCCGTCGCCCGTTAGTTACGCGACGGCGGGTACGTTAAAGTGCGATGTCGTCAAAAATATCGCGCGCGAACGGTTTGCAGGAATTCATGGATACCGCGATCTCCTTTGCCTTTTTTTGAAACTCCAAGTAATACGGAACGGAAATCGAAGAGGAGTTTGAAGTCTTTGGCGGTGCGGAGATTGATAGAGGTTTGTTGTTGAACAGCAAGCTTTTGCTTTTGTTTCCTTGCTATACTTTCGTATAATTAATTGATAATTATTTTCCACATTAATTACGGGCTTTACGCATTTGTAGTTAGATTAGCGCACGGATTGCATAAAAGGGCATTAGTATCTCTTTTTAATGTACCGCTAATTTGTTGCATCAATCATAATCAAAAGCGCAATTATTTTCTGATTGCCGACTGGAACGATGAAATAAATCATGACCGATAATTATTTTCGCTCCGCTTATTTCCGTTATTAATTATGATTATTAATTATTCAAGAATTATAAGCATAAATCGCAAATTTTATTACTTAATAATCATACATTTTACTCTGTCTGACAATAATGTAAAGATTGAAAATTCCTATTTAGAGGAAATTCCCACTTTCGTTTATGTAATTAAAGGTATCGATGTTCAACGTAATACAAAGTTAAATCGCACTTGCTCGGCTTGACGTTAAGTGTCGTGTGAATATCGAATTTCGAGTTACCGGAAATTACGATCTCTGAGAATAGATCGCGCCGATGCACGCGAAATAATTTTATCGATAGAAGCAGCCATGGCCTTGAAACGACTCCTAGAATGCGTTACTCGGAATTAATATCGAATTTCAGCGCGTTTATGACGCGCTATTCACAAATGTCGCGCTCGGGTATGCAGTCGGCATAATTTCGCTAAAGGAATTTCGAGAACTCTCGCGAGGAAAGTTCGTACGTTACGCGAGTTAGAACGGATATCTGCGCGCTATTAATTCATAGATCACCGGCTTTACAACAACGTGAACACACAGGACCAAAAATGTTAATGTGTCATGTCACCTTTCACGCCAATCTCGTCGGACTTCTTTCCTAATGTCAACCTGTTTGATCCGCGCCTGCTGATTTGTCGATCAGTGACATATACGGTAATTTTTATCATCCAGATTATTGCGTAAATTAAAATCAATATAGTAAGAACGTTGTCAATGAATTTGAATTTCTATAATTATAAAATATATTTAGAGATCTGTATTTATAAAATGATAATCTCAGCCGCGACGAATTTGTAGATAAGATATGTTTTTATTTGGTTAGAGATATAAAAGGAGTGTTTGACTTTTGGATACTTAAAGTTACAAAGGGCGTGTTTAATTTTTACACAGATATAAGGAGCTATCTTTGACTTTTAAGGAGGTTTATTTTTACTCTACGTTGCGAAATTTTTTCCACACCTTCGCTTCGGACATCGCGGACATCAGAATAACTCTATTTAAGGTGATTTTATCGTGCAAGTCCCAGTCAAAAGTTAGTCCCTCCATATGACTAATAAATCAATAAAAACATTTCGCATAGACTGTGCATATGCGATTGTGTGACGTTTATGTGACAACGTCACACTATCGAGTTGGCGTTGAGCGATAAAACCACCTTAACTACAACTACTTTCGTAATGAAAATTCGTGAAAAAACGTGAAAAACGTTTGCGCACCTTCAATTGTTCGTGCAACACGGATACGGCTGGAATTGCTGCAAAAGCTGGGCGGCACACGCATCCCGGAATGCATGCAGAAGCCGTCGAACGACGGCGCACAATTTTCCATTCGATACGTAGCGTAATTACGCGCTTCCGGTTTCCCGGAACAATTACAGTCGAGCGACCATCCGCGACGACGAGCCATCGATCCACCCTCTCTTTCTCTCCCTCTCTCGTCGCGATGGCATCTAGGAGCAATGGAATGCGAAATAGCATCGCTCTCATGCCGCGATGCATTTCGCGTGTATTTCGGAGTAGAACAATGCGGAATTCTTCTGCAAAACCTGCCGCGTACCTTTGTTCCCATCATAATTGGAAAAATGCCGGAGCCTTTGCTAAATGCTCAGCCATAAATCTCGCTCGATGATCGCCCGATAAACCGTCAAATGATTACGTCAGGAAGATGCAATTATTACGGCAATTTAACGTATGATTCCGTAAAGATATCTATAGCTTACTCACGGCAGAGCTGAGTAAGTTTTAAGTTACAAACTGGTGAATTTAAAGAGAAATCGAGAATTACGTAACTAACAAAATTTTTTTAATTGTATGAAACTATTAGTGTCGAAATAACGAATAAATATGAAAGATTTATATTAAAAAAAAAAAATTTTTAATATATATATATATTTAAAATTAGAAAGGCTCAATGTGTCTCAAAAAAGTCACGTTAAAAGTCGAGAAAAATTAATAATTAAAAACGACACTTTCTTCAATACTTTCTAACGAATAAATATAAAACATTAAAAAAAAAGAATCATTTTATAGTAATACATTTAAAGTTATTAGAAAAACTCAATGTGTCTCGAAAAAGTTAAAAGTTAAGTCACATTAAAAATCAAGTGAAAATTAATAATTGAAGAAGACACTTTCCATAATAATCCATTTCCCTCATGCCTTTCCCAATCCTACTAGGATTAGGAAAATTGCGTCAGCTGATTACGATAAAAAAATGATAGGTATCTTACCTCACAGAAGGCGTGGCATGTCAAGTCGTGGTTCTCGTACACGCGCCGATTATCTGTAAGATAAAGAGACAGGCATCCGTTAAAATCGAAAGTACAGCGGGAGCGTGAAATAATAAAGGGATAACTAGGCAGAAACGATGACAGTGTCGGGGTCACGCTGGGTCAATGAATAATATCCGACTTGTGTATACCGATCGTGCTTCGCGCGAACTTTACTACCTACTCGTTCCGCGAATCGCCCCACCTGATTTATGCAACGCCGATACCCGCAACGGAGAGAGAGAGAGAGAGAGAGCTTTCAAGGGAATTTATACTCGGCTTAAATTTCAAACGTGTTCGACTCGAAGCTGCTCGATTCGAACGCTAAGTCGACCGAAGGATTCGATTCGAGCCCGGCGGCGCCTCTACACCGCTCGTATATACGCGAATTTACGAATAAAGCACCGAATATCAGATCCTGGAGTTAAGTAACCGTGGAAGAAATATTTTCGACACAAAATATTTTGCGTTTTATTTCTTAATTAGCGTAGAGTGCGGCATAATGAAACCACGAGCGATGGGCACCTCCCTCTCAAGGAATAAAATAAAAAATTTAAAGAAGTAATTAAAAAGTAGTTAAAAAAGTTAAGCAGAAAAATAATTAATATATATTTTTGAAAATCTGAATTTCTGAGCGGAAAAAAAAGAAAAAAGAAGAAGTGTGGAAGACGTTTCCTTCGAAACTAATTGCGAGTCGACGATCGTAATTGGTAATTCGAGGGAAACGCTGTTATGCTACATACTCGATGAGTAGCTCTAACGAGATATTTCGGCAAGAAAGGCGAATGTTGTGTGAAATAACACAAGATGAAAGAGAATTAACGGCGCGGGCCGCGCGCCCGGGACACGAGAGAGACGGGAGGAAAGAATCGAGCGGATCATGCGTTGAATGATGTATGTGTGCGTTTCGTGACTAGGGCCATCGTAGATCTCTCCTCTTGCGGCCTCTGCCACGCCCGAACTCTCGCGACAGAATTTAAAGCTTCTATTTATAAAGAGTGAACGAACGCGATGGCAGCTCCGACGCGACGCATCGGGCCAGAATGCACACGCACACTCGCGCGCGCACGCACTCGCGATACGCACGCGGGCTCTCGAGGTATTCCGCGCTGAATTAATGCAGTACGGAGTACCGCTGACGATCCACTTTATTTCGAAGCGATACGCCTTGGGATCTCACGAGAAACGGACAGAAGAGAGAAAAAGAATTGGGAAAAGTGGAGTAAGTCAAAATTTTAGAAAGCTCTGCTTCGAAATAAGGCAATTTCGATAAATTGCAAATTAAATATATAAATAAATAAGTGATGATGTTTACCAATTTTTATCTGCTTTATCTTTTTTTTGCAAAAGGCGGACATCACTAAATACGAATATTAAATTGTTGGTAGCTAATTATTTGAATGTAATCGTTCTTTGT